ATATGAATTCACTTTCGAAGCCTTTGGCGCTGTTGAAACGGTTGACATGGAGAAGGTTGGCAAAGACGCTGTATGGCCCTTGCGGGCAAGGGACCGCGGCAAGTCGTCGGAGCTTGCAACGAACTGGTCGGAGCTGTCTCAGCATGCTGATCCCGCAGATCTGAGTCCTCCCTGCTCTATGGCTGCGGACCATGCTGATTTCTTCGAATGCGGGTCGTCGCACCGGAGCACATCAGAGCGTCTTGACCATTGCGTCCCAACGCCTCCAGTTGAGGAGGCCGCCCTTGTTACGAATGAGAACCGTGCTCAGTTCGTCAAGGATTACATATTCTGGCTTACTGATAAGTCGATCAGGCCCCAGTTTGAGGCGTTTGCGCGTGGATTTTATACGTGTCTAGACCGAGCGGCCCTGTCAATCTTTACGCCAGAAGCTTTCAAGACGGTCGTCGAAGGAATTCAGGAAATTGATCTGGGAGAACTGGAACGCCATGCCCGATACGAAGGCGGCTTCGATCCCCATCACCGAGTCATCCGAGATTTCTGGAGCATTGTGAAGGGCTTTTCTGCAGAGAAGAAGGCGCAGCTCTTGGAGTTTGTCACGGCCAGTGATCGTGTTCCTGTGAACGGTATTGCGAGCATCATGTTTGTCATTCAGAGAAACGGTGTGGGTGATGCTGTAAGTGTACTTGCTCGCTTTTCTGCTGCGTTAACAGACTGACATTTCTCCAGCGCCTTCCGACCAGTTTGACCTGTTTCGGCCGACTACTTTTGCCGGAATACTCATCAAAGAGTGTCTTGGAAGAGAAGCTTAACAAAGCTCTTGAGAATGCTCGGGGATTTGGAGTTGCTTGATTTACCAGGCAAACTTATGTTCGCTTGCTAGATAATACCCTCCGCAAGGTTGGTTTGTGATATACCGTACATCGTTGCAGTGCCACTCATGGCCAGGGTGCATGGAGGATAGGACGTATTTAGGTGGTTTCGGGATCCAGCCATAGAGGGCGTTGCTGTATATAATATGATCATATTCATGGAGGGCTTATACGTTGCCCATTACAGTCTCATTTTTCTCTTTCCATTGCCCATGTTCTTGTGAGGCGATTCGCCAAACCTGCCTGCCAGTCTTCGGACCAGTTTCCCCCGACAAATGACGTTGCTGCCATGGAAAGGCGGGATTTGCCATGATTGCTCCCACTCTGATCTTTGTAGTAGATTTGTCTGTTTCTTCACTATCCTGTTTATTTTTTTTCTCGTACATAGACGATCTATACGCTTTGCATAGAGATTCTGAATGTAAGTCTTGAGTCCTGCTGTTGTCCAGTCATATTCAACATCACCCCCACGGTGCGCTGTCCTCCGGGATTGACTCAACCAGTCACAACCAACAGTAGCCTTACTGATTTAAGTATTCTCCAAGTTCCTCAGAATCAGATTTACAACCTTCCTCATTTTCTGTCATACATCTGAAGAATTTTTCGTTTTGTTTGCGCTGCCGATAGGTACGTGTGTCCTGCTAGGATTTATCGTCGACTGCCCCGCTACCCCACGCTTCTATATTCTAACTTGTCCCTCTCTATCTAGATATCTACTAGACTTTTAAAATGCCGCCAATTGTCCATTGCGTTCGCCATGCTCAGGTATGGTGCTCCTTGCAGACATCTTACTGCGTACTCGAAACTAACCATACCATCAGGGCGTCCACAACCTGAGCACAGCGAACCACGTCATCCACGATCCCTCCCTGACCGACCTCGGAAACGAACAATGTCGCATCCTTCGCGACAACTTCCCCTTCCATGATCGGATCGAGCTGATCACCGCGTCGCCTCTCCGGCGGACCATCTACACTGCATACCAGAGCTTCCAGCCCGTGTTCGAGAAACACAAGGATATGAAGATCGTGCTGCTGCCGGATGTGCAAGAGACAAGTGACGTTCCCTGCGATACGGGGAGTGACCCGGAGGTTCTGCGGAAGGAGATGGAGGAGCAGGGAATCCCCGTGGACATGAGTTTAGTGCACGAGGGATGGAACAGCAAGGTTTGTTGCCTTCCTTCGTTTTGGGTTGGGGAAGGGAGACTGACGGTATTCAGACGGGTCGCTATGCGCCGACCAACGAGGCGATCAAGAACCGGGCGCGTGAGGCGCGGCGCTGGTTGAAGGAGAGGCCGGAGAAGGAGATCGTCGTCGTCACGCACGGTGGTTTCCTGCACTATTTCACGGAGGACTGGGAGGATAGCAGTCATTACCAGGGTATGTTTTGTCCTCGTCTTCTCAGCTTTCTGATGACCAGAATAATGTGACTGACGCTTGTATAAGGAACCGGTTGGAGCAACACGGAATACCGCAGCTTCGTCTTCTCCGACGAGACACACAAAGATGACCTGGAGGGCTACCCGTTAGACGGCGACAATGCGACAATGGTTGAGACAGTGGAATCACGCCATCGCCGTGGTAAGGACGGCCCCATGCTAGACCGTGAGAGACAAAAGACATTGTACAAGCTTGGCACACAAGGATGGGATGACCAGGGCTTGCAACTGAGCACAGCCGAGCGCGAGCAAACCACGGTTCCGGAGGGCAAGGAGGTCGAGGGTGTCAGAGTCTGAGACGTTGGATGTTACTTGCCAAGTGTTGGCTGCTGCATGATTGGACTGAAGATAGATCTAGACGAAAATAGATGCAAGATAGAAAGCAATCCATTGGTTCAGGTGTTTCATTTGATTGTAGACGAGGGAAATAAAGAGTCGATCTCAAGGGTTGCGGTTGAATCGAACAAAGCCGGGGACCTCAATAACGGACGCAACAAAGGCACCCGTTTCACATCCAATCCCCCGACAAGGAACAAGGTTCGAGATCGCATCGATGATTGGACTCGATGCGACTCTTCAAGGAAAATTTCCGTGGATTGAAGACATACTTGCAACACTCGAACAATAGCCATTATGTGCTCAGAGACAAAAGTACAAAGCTCGCCGAGTCGACCAGAATAGAACAAACGGACGCAAGAACAAGACAGCGACAAAGACTGTCTTCAAGTCAAGTAATTCATTGTGAGCCGTCGTCTATAAGAATATCGATTGCTGCGTGCTTTCGGCAATCAGCCAGAGCCTTTTCCTGATCGTCTCAGCAGATAGTATCGGTTCATTCTTGACTCTACCAGAGCAGTATCGAACAGGTGAGTCCGCCCGGGAAAGCAAGCAAATACTAATATGTGGTTCTCAGGTTCTGCATACCTGTGCTCGATCTTCTGAATACCAGCTTATCAGCTTAAGTCTAGTAAGTGACCCCAACCCTCAATAGCTAACGGAAGCAGGATGGATCTCCACTTTCCAGGATGGAATATATTTGTTGAATCGGCCAGATGACGAAAGCCAATATATTGTGATCTTCCTAAGTCTCGAACCCTCCCCCTAAAAGGCCACAGCTAATCTCGATCAGGCATGGCAACTGGCGGGTTGACAAAATCATTCAAGTGTATCATACAACCGGACTCGAGACTCAACGTCAGGTACGTCCTGGATCCGCTGGTGTATGGCTTATGGAGGATAGGGTTTGCTTGACTTATTTCATGAGGGCCATTGAGCCTGTTCAACAGACGCGAGACGCAGACGCTCGCCGAATAAGTTCATCCCCACCCATTTACATGAGCGAGATGTTTTACTGATGTACGCCAGGGAGGGATGTTGGATACAGACCAACACCATGATACCGGCAGAGGCTGCGTTCGAGCATTGGATGAGCGATGAGGACCTGGAACAGGAGATTACAGAGCATTATTTATCTACTGCAAAGGTTAGGATTCCACTCCCCAGGTTGGACGAGACTGACCGATTCTAGATATACAGTCATAACCAGCGGGCTCAATCCATTGGATCGACGTTGTTTTCATACGGTACGTGCTTGACAGACCAGGACCAGACTGGACAGACACTAATTCATCCCAGGCCACGCGTCCAACGGTCTTTGCTACACCACAGCCCGATGATGAAATGCATTGCTCTGAGGGGGTGATTCGAGATCCGCCAGGCCGGGAAGACAAGAAATTAGTTGAGAACCAGCGTGAGAACATCATGTACTTCATCCCGAGCCATTCACTCGATAGCGGGATCCTCGGTCAATACAATCAAGTCCTGTCAGTCCTTCAGAACCCGAGTCAGGCCCACTGTAACTCCAATAAATCATAAACAAGGGTAGGCGCACCAGCCTCCACCTAGATAGCCCCAATCTGAGCTAAGAGGCAGAGTACGATGGAGTAGCCCAATTGCACGATTCTGATCACTAGCTGTGGCCTGATCCACGAGGCAGACTTCACCCATCCTTCGGGGCAGTGCTCAAGGCAACGAGATTGACCTTGTTCTCGTATGTAGATCATGTCAGAATCATATTTGCGAGCAGGCTTTTTGATTCATTCTGTTGGTGCTGGGTTGTTGAAATGTCGGAATGCTTCTGACGGCTAGAGTTGAATAGTCCTAGGTTCAATTCAGTCCCAGGGTTAGAGGATCTGTCAGATCAGTATATAACTTTTGTGATTTGTGCAAATAGCTGAATTGCCATCCATTGAACTGAGTTGAGTTCTGCCTATTTCCTGACAGATATGATACATGAGTGGACAATGGTGAGACGGCAGTATCGACAGTCAGCCTATCATCGTTCAGCCAATGCTTCTCAATAGTAGCAGATCTGCAGACAAGAGTTAGAGTTGTAAACATATAGCTGCCTATTCGACACAACTTGAAACGTTCAGTAGAAGCTCTCCGAAGACAAGGAAAGATGGACATGCGCTATTTTTAGGTGCGGATCCAGTGGCGCAATAGCGGGCAATACCCCAGAGAAGCAAGCCTCAGGCTTATCACCAGGCACCTCTGAAACGACTTCCACTTCCTCTTTCCATCAGTGGTATATTTCAACTCGTGGCCACTTATCAATGGCCGAATTGTCTCAACCACTGCAGACCGGCGGTTCTCATTGAATGTTCACGCCGTAGCGATATCCATGCACAATGCTTGACGAGAACCTTCCCAGTACGTCATCCACTCATACACCAAAGATAGCTTGAAGACTGACCGAGCCGCTGACTGACTGCTGACGACAACGACAGCCTTCTATCTCAGACCGAATAACCAACAAAAACATCTGTGGACTATTTATCTCTGCCAGTACGGCGACGACCCCGAGCCCGCCTACACCCTCCGCTACCCCGATCCCGCCTCCCCCTCCTCCAAGAACCGCTATGCCGTCGCGCTCTGTGATCCTTTCGTGCCAGATGTCGTCTACGGCGAGATCCTAATCATCCCGGAATGGACGCAACCCAGTCTATCCGCTGAGGCGATCCGCCTGAACGGCGGGGTCACGCCTCCCCCAGAACCCATTCTCCCCTCGCAGTTCATCGTCCACCTTTACAACCCGGATCAGCAGGTGACGATCCGCTACAAGCACAAGACGTGGAATACGCCCGCAACGTGGGAATTTGAGATGCCACAGCACACATTTCGGCAGCCGTCGTCCTCGACGCTCGACCGCACGCAGACCGACCCGGCCCTGGCGGACACGACGCCGAAACTGCGGTTCAGCTGGCGCAAGGATAGCAAGTTGTCCAAGGACCTGACGTGTCTGCTGTCAGGGAAGACGTCGACACTGCCGGAGGGGAAGACGAAGAGCAAGGAGCCGGATATCACGCTGTCGATCTTCAAGGCGCTACGGGAGTTGACGCTGTACGAGCCGAACCTGTACCGGGTTGAGATGGAGGATTTCAAGGGGCTGGAGGTTGTGCTCTTGCTAGGAGCGGTGACCATCCGCGATGTCTACTTTACCCCGATGAAAGACGCGTTTCGGATTGTAAGGGATGAGGTGGGAAGGAAGCCTGTGGCTGGTCCGACAGGCAGTACTGTCAATGCCAGTGCCAGCCCAACGGTACAAAATGGTACAGGCTTGCAGAATCAGAAGCCTACGCCGGTAGCCTCGAATACAAAAACCAACGGCAAACAGCCTGCGCCCTCGCGTCCAGCAGAGACTCCAGTCACACGGCCAAGCCCAACGCCAGCCCCAGCTCCAACGCAGCAACAGAAGAAAAAGCAAGAACTCTCGCGCAAGGAGGAGGAAAAACGGACCAAGAAAAAACTAGAAGAAGAGGAGAAGGCTCGTCGCAAGCGCCAGGCCGAGATCGACAAGGAGACTCGCCGACTGCAGAAGATCTACGGCCGCGAGGAGCAGCAGGTGCGCGCCAGCAGCGTGAACCTTGCGCGTCCTCCTGCCCAGTCGCCGCGTCCTCAACCACCTCCCCGGCAGCAACAGCAGCAACCGCATCCCCCACCGCGGCCGAATCCGCGATACTACTACCACCAGCAGGCACCGTCCATGTTGCATCTGATGCCGGGCCCAGTTGCGACACCGCGGCCGCATGCGCCTGGCTCTGTGCCCCCGCCTCGACCGCACTCGACGGCGCATTTCTTGCAGCCGCCGCGCCCACAAGGTCAGGGACAGGGACAGGGGCAGCTGCAGCCGAAAAAGAGTAGTTTCTTTGGGTTCCGACGGTCGTCGGACGATTCAAAGTTGCATAAAAAGCGCAGCTCGATGTTTTGATATGATACCCATGCATTATGGAGTTTGGCGTTGAAGGTATACGATAGCACTATTGATACTCATGAAGCTCAGGCATGTACGCTAAACAGTCTTTGGCTGATCCAATGCCCTTGCATCTACGCCCTCAGTCGTAATCACCACCGGCAGGATATTCCCGTCTGCATCAAACTCCATCCGGTCGATACAGACCACGCGGTGGTCGCGCTCGGTGTCATTCACCGGCCGCCGATGGTAGACGATATAGTAGTCCTTTCCATCTGGTGTGATCACACTATTATGGCCCGTCCCGGTGCCAACCGTCGCATTCCCGGAGAGAATCTTGACAGGCTCCGTCGAGAACGGACCCGTAGGCGACGCCCCAGTAACATAACTCACGCCGTAGGAGTCATCTCCCCATCTGCCACCAACCATTAGCACTTTGCCTCGCATCGCTGAAGAGGAGGGAAACTTACCCCCCCACGCTAAACATGAAATAATACACCCCTTCCTTCTTCATCATCCACGGCCCCTCAACATACCCTTTGGGTGTTATTTCCAGATACTCCCCTTTCAAACTCACCATATCACTCTCCAACTCCACCACGACGGCATGGCTCCACCCCCCAAAATACAACCACACCCGTTCATCATCATCAATAAACACCTGCGCGTCGATTGGCTCCGCCCCAAACACCGTGGTCGGGATAAGCGGTTTTCCAAGAGCATCCGCATAGGGACCCTCAGGCCGTCCAGTCGTCGATTTCGCAACGCCTATCCCTGCCCCGTCGCCGGCGGAGAAGTACATAAAGTAATCATACTCATGCCCATTCTCCCCTTCCCCTGCAGCACTACTGCTACGGCCACTGGTTGTCGGCGAAGCAGGCCGACGAATCACACTCGGCGCCCAAGCAGCCCGATTCGTGGACCAGGGGATCCCCCCGAAGTCCAGAATGCGGGGGTGTTTGGTCCAGGTGAGGAGGTCCGGGGAGGAAAAGGCGTCGAAGAAGGTTTGGGTTTCGTAGGCGGCGGAGTAGGTTGGGTAGATCCAGTAGTTGGTGTCGAAGATGCGGGCTTCGGGGTCGGCGTACCAGCCTTGGATTATGGGGTTTCCTGATTTCATGTTGTTGTTGTTGTTGTTGTTGTTGTTGTTGTTGTTGTTGTTGTTGTTGTTGGGGGAGTCGAGGGGGGATTGGAGGGTTGTCGCTGTTGCGGAGGGGAGTGTTATTGATAGTAGAGTAAGGATTAATGGTGTTTTCATTTTGATGATATGATTATTATAGTTATGGACCTTGTGATGATGTGATTATTTTGATGCGATTGACGTGAAATGGATTGAGGGAATGCATTGTTTATCTATTTACTTCTGGTATGTGTGCTATGCCCTAGACTGTGAATGCTCTGCATAATGCGGGGACTGCGATCGACACTGACAGGTCATCTGCCACAATATAGATTAACTACTACGGATCACAGGACAATTCTTGCCATTCAGGATGCTCTGTCAAAGAGAAATGACACTAGCACTCAACACTCCTCCCCCCTTGACTAACCCATCAGCCACTCGCTGGTCCACCACCTTGTCGATCCCCAGGATCATCAACGCCTCGTGCTTAGAACCTCCATCGTCCGTCTCCCCAGACGCCAATGCAAACTTCCTCGAAACAGGAGCCACCGTCATAAAGTTGATGTTGACCCCTTCCTGCCCTAAGAGACTTCCCACCGCCCCGATCTTCCCCGGAGAATCGTAGTTCTCGCAGATGAGCAGCGTTCCCTCCGGGACGAACGAGGTCTCAAACCGGCCCAGCCGATTAATCAACGGCTGGTCGCCGCTGCACGTCCCGGAGATGATTCGCTGGTCTTGCGGCACAGGTCCGACCTGAGAGGTAGCCTCCGGCGCAGGCGCACGGGACGAGGCGCGCGAAGGCGGCCTCGCGACAAGCGTCACAAGAGACGAATACGAATGATCCGCCGGATCGCGCGAGTGCTGCTCGTTGACGAAGATGCCGCGTTCGCGCGCGACCAGTTCCGCATTGACGATGTTGATGTTGATGCCCTCGGAGCTGCTGATCGGGGCCAGGAGGCCCTTGATCAGCGCGGCGAACAGCGGCCGCGTGTTGCTGATGCCTGCCACCTCGCCGTGGTAGATGAGATCAAAAGTGTTGCGCGTCATGGACCCGCCCACGGTCGAAGCGTAGTGCTGCGTGTATAGGCTGCCCATCTTTTCAACGAGCCGGACAAACGGCTGCAGCTTGCGGTATTCCTCGGGCAGGATGAGAGGCGCGTTGACGGCGCTGCGTGGGAGGGAGCCGTTGAGGATCTGGAGGACCTGCTCGCAGACGTCGATGGAGACGTTTTCCTGCGCTTCGACCGTGGAGGCGCCGAGGTGCGGAGTGACGACCGCGCGGGGATGGGCGATCAGCCGGGCGGCAGTCGAGTCGGGCTGGGGAGGTTCGGACGTGAAGACGTCGATGGCGGCTGCGGCCAGATGGCCTGCGTCCAGGGCCTCCAGCAGAGCGGCTTCGTCGATGGTGCCGCCGCGAGCGACGTTGAGGATGCGGGAGCCAGCCTTCATCTGCGCGAGTTCGGCCGTCGAGATCATCCCCTTGGTTGACGCGATCAACGGCGTGTGGATGGTGAGAAAATCCGCCGTAGTCAGTAGTTCTGACAGTGATGAGACCAGGGTGACAGACGCGGACGCCGCCACGGCAGGAGACGCATACGGATCGAGCGCGTTGACGTTCATTCCTAGCCCTTTGGCCAGTCGTGCAACCGTCAAGCCGACTGTTCAGTCAGCCATACACTCGACCGCATAGTAGTGTAATGATGTCTCGTTCCTCATGCAGAAGCTCACCTTTTCCCAAACCGATGATCGACAAGGTCTTGCCCTTCACCTCGACTCCGACAAACTTGCTCCGTTCCCATTTGCCGCTCTTCAGACTGCTGCAGGCCTCGGGGATGTTCCGCGCCATGGCCATCAGGAGGGCAATGGTATGTTCTGCAGCAGCCCCGATGTTGCCTGACGGCGAGTTGACGACGACGATGCCTAGCTTGGTGGCTTCCTCGACATCTGTGCCGTGACTTGTCAGTGTGCCATAGATCAAGCCTGGGGACTAGGGGCTAACTCACCCACGTTGTCCACTCCTACTCCCGCTCTGGCAACTACCTTGAGTTGTTTGGCGGCTCGAAGGAGACTGGCCGTGACTTTGGTTTCGGAGCGGACGACCAGAGCTTCATATTCGGGAATGATCTGGAGAAGTTCATCCGCATCCAGACCCTTTCGCTCGTCTACTTCGAGCGACGCACGCAGAAGAGCCAGTCCATCTGGCGAGAGTTTTTCCGGCACGAGGACTTTGGGAGGGGGCGGTTTGGCTGAGGGCATGATTGCGGCCGTTTGAGTGGAACGATTGTATTGAAGAAACCAGTGGTTGGATTAGAAGCTTTATGCCTGATATATAACCAAATCAATGAGGCCGTAGTCAATTGACTCTGTCGAGGGGAATGCATTAGCCAGAGTGCATACATTGACAGCCATTGGGCCAAAACGCCACCAGTATGCTGTAACCACTAAGGCAGGTATACCTCGAACAATAGCATCACATCTTATTGCAGCTCATGTGTGTATCTCTTCCCCGTACCAATCATCGCGAGACTGGTTAATCTGCATAAAGTGAGTACATTGTGAGACTGCGGGGTTGCGGGACGGCGTCTCTGTGATTCGTGGATATCATGATCCTCATCTTTGGCAATAGGTAGATTGTCCTTCTTTGCTTTTATCTTGTGTCATCTGATGTTTGTTATTGTCGAGTTTGCCGCTGAATATCATGTCCCTTGAGACTTGATGAGATGAGCATGAGATAGAGTACTTGATGTATCATCATCCTTTCGACAAAGCTCTCCGTTTCCTGACTTGGTATCTCTTAAGTTCGACCAAGAGAATGACCGATCAAATCATTTCCTATTGCGGCTCACTAGAGAGAAGGAAAGAATGAAGGTATGTGGGGTACGGGCCATATCATCATCGTGTTGCTATTCTAGTCATTATGGCCCAGTGCAGACTGTTAGTATTATTAGAGGGTAAGCACTCTACCCATCAATATCATCATCCAGCCATAAGGGCCATCCATACGAAGGAGGGCTTTCAGGATACTGACGAACACGAGCCAAGTGGGTCACATCGTATCATCCAATTCTGTAACTGACTCCTCTAGCTCTTTGGCGATTGTTTCACGAGTGGGTATCCAAAAAAGGCAAAGCACAGATCAGCAGAGCATCGATGCAGGCTCGTATATCCCGTCTAACGAGAGCCGCGCCGAGAAACGCGCCAATCATGAGGCATCCACTACGAGGATGATGCTATTTTAATCACTAGCCGACCTGTTGACTTCGGATTCATCAAGCTACCGTTTGAGAGTTTGACTTGACCTCATCTTGATTCTCTGTCACGGCCCCCATGCTTGCTGGGCAGCGATTCGTTCGTGAGGGATAATTATACCAGCATCGCCTGAGATCATGGCAGCAACGAGTCAGTCTAGCTGGTCAGCATCAGGATATTTTACGGAGTATCCTCGATAAATCTTTTCGAGACGTCAACGTCAAGAATCGTGGGGGCCATGGGCCATAGCATGGCACCTCGTGGCCCTTGCAGGATCATCATAGCTCAACAGCCGGTCGAGATGCAGATCCAAAAAAAGGTTAACGGTCTGTCCTGAGACTGGCGATTGTCAGTCTGGACGTCGTCATTCGGCGTGTGCTCGTACTTCCAGAATTCGGCCAGTTGGGGGTCCTTTTGCACCTGTTCATCTCTGGGATGCATAGAAAAGGTCCTCGTCTCGATGTGATTGAATTCATCAAACTCTCACACACACACACACAAACTCTCCTTCAACACATTCCTTCAACACATTCCTTTCTTGTCGTCTTGCAAGCGTTTCTTTTAGAGTTCTGTAGATTGTTGTCAACGTTGTCCACGCTGGCCGTGCCTGTAAGATACGATGGTCGGAGTCCCCCATAGCACAGGGTGCTCGCTGTGCCGCGAAAGACGGATCAAGGTTGGTGCTCCCCCTCCTCTGCCATTGTGACCCAATCTGACAAAACAGTGCGACGAGGCCGTCCCCCAATGCTCGCAATGCCGGAAATACGGCCGCCCGTGTCCAGGCTACCGCCGCACCTTTCGCTTCCAGGACGAAGGACCAGCCCTCCAACGACGGCACCAGTCACGGTCCCAGTCTCGCAGACGGCCAGAGTCAACCACAGATGCTGCAGCGGCAGCTGCAGCAGCCGTTCGCAACAACGCCATCGCAATGATGCGCCAGACCCGCTCAGAAGACCCCTCCTCCGCCGCCCAAACCCAAACCCACCTCCACCAAATGCAACTGCAAATGCAAATGCAACTCCAACAACCACACCTCTTCGCCTCCTTTCTCCACTCCGCCTTTCCAACGCTCTACACCTCCAACATCTTCCGCGCACACAACCGCCCCGACTTCCTCGCGCACGTCGCCTCCTCCTACGCCTCCGGCGCAGCCCCCTACCTCGCCGCCACCCTCGCCTGTCTCACGTCAATCTACACCGCGCAGTTCTCCCCCGATCCCGCGCAGTACACCCGGCGCAGCCGCCAGCTGTACGCGCACGCACTCACACACGTTGTCGCGGCACTGCACTCCCCCGCTGCACTGTCCGCCCCGCTGTTAGCCACCATCATGATGCTCGCGGTGTACGAGATGTACGCGCGGACCTCGCCGGACGCGTTCATCGTGCATGTTGATGGTGTGAGGAGGATCATGCTAGCGAGGGGGCCGGGTCTGCACTTCACCGACGACAACGACAACGACAGCCAGCCACACACTCCCACCAGCGCCAGCGGCGAACAACCACCAGCTAGCGCGAGCGCTGGAGCGGGAGCCGAAGGCCCCGGCTTCGCGCGCGGCTGCTACATCGCCTTCCGCGGCTTCCTCGTCGCAACCGCCATCTACGAGGGGCGCGCGTGCTTCCTAGACGAGGAGGAATGGCTGCGGTTTGCGGGGAGGATCCGCGCCGAGGATGTGCGCAAGGCGGGGCGCGATGCGCGCGTGGTGGATGTTTGTGAGCGGATTTGGATGGAGGTTGTGCGGTGTCCGAGGTATTTTGCCGAGGCCTCGCCGGAGGACTTCCCGGAGGACTTCTCGGAGGGAGAGAACCCCGTGGAGGGTGAAGGCGTGGGTGAGGGGCTGGTAGCCAGGGTGCGGGCGACCAAGGGCCGGCTGGTTCGGTTGGTTCAAGAGCTGCGGGGGGTAATTGGGCCAAGTGGTCGAGGGGATACTGGCCCCGGGCTCCTACTCCAGGGGGCGGAGGATATGGTGGCTGCGTTGCAGAGCCTGCTGGTTTGGCTTCGGGTTGGTCGACGCCGAGGAGGCTTCTGCGTGGTGTCGGACTTTCAGCGCGGGGTGTCGAGTGCGTCGAGCGAGGCTTTGCCTGTCACTTGGCTGGACCGGGTGGCGTCTTCGATGGGGGTGATAGGCCTGAGGATTATCTGGGAGGATAGCATATAGAAGTATCATGTATAGTGATTGCATATCATGGAGTACGGTGGCGTTGATAGAATGCATTGTTTTGTTATGTACGAGAGACACTAATATTCCATCGACTGCTCGAGTAACCCCCTCAACTCCTCCCTCTCTCTTTCCAGCTCGCCACTCAAATTCGGCGCCAGCATCAACACCCGCTGCTGCGGGATCGTCCCCTCAACCAACGAGTCGATATCCGAATGCTTAAAGCCCAGATCCTTCAGACCACGCGGCTGGTCGCCCAGCTCGGCCAAGAACTTGGCCAGCGCCTCGCCGAGGACCTCGCCGGCGCTCTCGCGCTTGACATTCGAGACATCCACGCCAAAAGCCTCAGCGGCAGCCAGATGGCGGTCGGGGTTTGAGGCAGCCGTGAAGCGGAAAACCGCCGGCGCGGTGACGGCGACAGACACACCATGAGGAATAATCGGGTGGTCCACGTCATACCCCGCATGCTTGTACCCCGGGTTCTGGCTGGAGATGGGGTAGCTCATGCCATGACATAAATGGACACCGGCATTCCCGAAACCAACACCGGCCAGGGTGGCGGCCAGGAGCATCTGGGACTGGGCCTCAAAGTCGTCTGGGTCGCGGACGGCGCGGGGGAGGTACTTGACGGTGCTGCGGAGGGCCTGGAGCGAGAATATGTCGGAAATCGGGTTGGCGCCCTGGTAGGCGGGGCGGTTGATGGGGTTGGTGGGGCGCGGGGTGCGCTCGTTGTAGGGGATGGCGGTCCAGGATTCGAGCGAGTGGCAGAGGACGTCAAGACCCGAAGAGGCGTGGACGGCCGCGGGCATGGTGCGGGTGTTGAGCGGGTCGCAGATGCCCAGCGTGGGCTTGAGGTTGCGGTGGGCGATGCCTGTTTTGGCTTTTTTCGACACGAGGTCGAAGATGGCGGTTCCTGTGGTCTCGGAACCGGTGCCTGCAGTTGTTGGAACGGCGACCAGCGGCCGCAGGGCCTTGGTGACGGGGAGTCCTTTGCCAAGGGGGGCGTTGACAAAGTCGAGAAAGTCGGCCTCGGGGAAGACGGTGTAGAGGTTCATCAGCTTGGCCGTGTCGATGACCGAGCCGCCGCCGACAGCCAGAAAGGCATCGGGGTTATATGGCTTTGCAAACGCAATAGCATCTTTCACTCTGCTGGAGGTTAGCGTGCCTGACTCCGTCACTGCAGTCTGCAGTCTGCACTTACGAGCTATCCTTTGGCTCCACGCGCACCTTGTCATAGACCGTAAACTCGATCCCCTCTTTTGACAGACCTTCCACTGCCTGTTTCATAGCATCCAGCTTGGCCACATTCTGGTCGGTCACGATACACACGCGCTTGGCCTTCATATTGGCGAAATCCATGCCGACTTCCCTCGTCGCGCCAGGGCCGAAGCGGATACTCGAGGCGGCCATTTCAAAGGCGTACTCTTTCTGGCGCGAGGGGTCAACGGGGGTGGCCAGACGGCGGACATGGTTGGATTGCAGGTGATGGTGGTGATTGGGGTTGGAGTGGCAGGGACAGGAGGGAGGATGGGTGTATTGCACTGTGCGGAGGAGATTGAGGGCCCTGTTGGCGGCAGAGGGCACAACACGTATTGAAGTCATCTTGATTAGGACGAGTTGTCGTGATGATATGTTGAGAGAGAGCAAGGGAACAAGGGAGATGGCAAAGTGCGGGGAATATTAACGGGGATCTCCAATTATTTATTCAGCGGGTCAGCCTCGGTCTTCTGGCCGAATATCCAGCGTCCATAAAGGAGTCAGAACATAATCTCGGCCAACCGAGCGAATAGACGGCATTCTTGATCTTCTTCAGCTCAGCAGTCTGTACTACGACACGTGTTTCTTCCGTGTTTACTCAAGAATGACAGCAATCATCGCCATCAGCGTATGGATCAGGAATGTATGCTCTACTACTCCAACTGTATACTAAGATAAATGCCGAGGTTAACGTGGGGACTGAGGACTATATGCTCCAACAGTACACAACTACACCTTTTCCTACAGTAAATACCATCAGATAACTAATATCATAAGAACACAGATTAAATTACTACCGCATAGCACGAAAGCAAATAGAACATAGCATTACCATAATACCATACCCCTCATCCTCGTCCTCGTCCCCTCCATCTCATCTCATCTCACCTCCATAAGATCCTCCAAGGATAGATCTAACAAACCGTCAGAACCAAATCCCCCTGCGCACCCGCAACCCTAACCATACTTCCCCCAGGCGACACCCCATCCTCCCACTCAATCTTTTTCTCCTCGTCTTCCTCACCCTCCCCAACCAGCCCCCGATACTCCACCCTCACAGGACTCCCTAGGAACGGATCCCCAAAAACATCCGACAAATCATACCAGACCTGCTCTCCCACAAGGTTATACGCAAACACCATCTGCGGCGCTGCGGCATACAGCCCATCCTGCACGCGCGTGATCTTCAGCGCGATGCCGCCGCTTGCGGGGTCCCGGCGGTAGGCCTCGGTGTAGGTGGTGTTTGGGGGGATGGTGAACTGGGGGGAGATGGTTGAGCCGACGGACCAGAGGTAGATGGTGGTGGTGCAGGTGTTGTGGATGAGGGCGTGGCCGAGGGTTTGGTTTGTTGGTCTTATTTTCATGGTCATGGGCAGGGGTGGTTTCATGGGGACTGGTTGGTGAGGGATGGCTAGAGCCAGGGGAGAGAGACAGAGCGCGAGGCTGAGGAGGTTGAAATGCATTTTGAGTTTGAGTTTCTGTTCTGTTCTGGCGTTGTTGTGTTGTTGTTAGGTTAGGTTGAAGTGAGGTTATGTTGAGGGTGATGGTCGGTTTATATATCTAGAAATTCTAGCCAAGTGATATCATGTCTACTCTGTGTACAGTGTAGGCTTTGATGTGGTACATCCGTAGTGCAACGATGTACCCGAGTTAATGTACAGTCAGTAAGCGTTGAGTTGAGTAACAGTCGATAGTCCACGCTATGCTGTCTATTAATAGTATGTGAAATGTGATGTATATGTACAGTGACAGATGCAGTGACAGATGAAATACACTGGCGTGCTAAAAACTGACAATAGGCGACATGCCCAGAGGAATATCTCCCCGACGAGCAACCACCTGGAGATACTTTGTCTTTAACCCCCGAACCGTACCAGACGTCTCGAAGCCAGTGCGCTTAAAGGTAGTGACAATGGTGGTACTGACAGAGTCTGGCGCGTCAGCGGCCATCACAGCCCAATTGTCATACTCAGTTGCGCCGTTCCAGCTCATAAACACCTGCGCAGAATCATGGGATACCCGACGAGCCACAATCGCCGGTGCCCAAAACGGCGTCGCCTTCCAGGCACACTTGTACCCCCGGTACGAGGCCACCTCGTTGTCGGTGCCAAACTGCGCCGTGAGGACCTGCTTGTTGTTGGCGTCAAACTCTTTGATTTTGGCAATCGACCCATAGCCCAGCACGACATGCCCCGACGAACTCAGCTGTTGGTAGTTGCCTTGACTGACGCTGTGGATGACGTCTTTGCTGTCGCTCAGGGTGCGAAGTGTCTTTGCCGTGCGGTTGACCAGATCCACTGCATAACTCAAACCCGTCGACGCCGCAACAGTCTCCGTAGGGGTGTTGGCGTTGTTGAACAGACTCAGGATCATGCCGGTTTCTGTCTTGTTGTAGATGCGCATGTCGTGCTGCCAGGAGAAGACCCCGGCCTGGTCTAGTGTAAAGTCGCCCTTGCCCAGTTCGCCCTGGTCCGTCAGTACCTAACGCACACAAAAAAGGGGTGGGTAAAGGGGTAATACGCTGAATTGCCACATGACCGTCCCATTAGCATGGACATAATACCCAGACCAGTAGTGACGCAAAGAGACGAGATACCCCTCGTCAAACAGTTCCACCGAGTTGATATGATACGCATCCCACGGCTGGTCGTGCGTTCCATGATCGACGTCAATCCCCTGCTTGGAATCCGTCAAGGCAATCTGGTCGACATGCTCCAGTGCACTCCACGAATGCACAATCTCATTGGTAGCAATGTCGATCTCATAAAACAGACTGTCCAGCATGTAATCCTCCGGCGTCCCCCCGATCGATGTCAGCGACTGCTGGGTGACATTGTAGGCCGTGACCAGCAACGTATTGCGGTCCGAGATGTGACTCTCGTGCAGGTCAATGAACGAATCCGGGACAATGTTGTCCGGGGTTACAAAGTTCCCCTGCAGGGTCACCGTGTAGATCTCCCGGTAGGTGTTGTCGAGAATGTGGACGGAGCCGTATCCAAAGCCCAGGTCGGTCATGTTGCCGGCCCAGAAGGTGATGACATCCTGGTTGAACAGTCGCTGCACGCGGAAATTGGCCGTCACCTCGTCCGGGCCCTGGTAGACCAGGTTGCCGTCCTCGTCGTAAATCAACGCCGCCGTGCCTTCTGGTTTGTTGCCCCGGGGGCCAACAAAGAGATACCCCGGGTCGGTGGTGCCGCTCTTGGTGACTTGGATCTGCGGAGGTTGGTATGGCGCAGTCTGCAGGGTCATGTACGGCCAGGTATCTACTGCCACACAGAGTGACAGCAGGGCCCACCCGGCTGTGAGCCTGAGTAACCCTCGGCCTGGCATTTCAACGGCAATCTATAGACCAATGAACGTGTATGTATACAAACGAGTGACAAAGGTTGGACAAAACAAAGAAAAAGCAAACAGGACGTAGGCAAGTAGATATAACACTGAAGGAGAGGACGGCGATCTACAGGGGCGACGAACAGAAAATCAACATGAGATCAGATTCGACCTGCACGGAATCATGATCTCCACTGGAGCCAGTTGATGGATCCCAGTCGTCGGAGATTGGCAGGCCAAGTGGAATCACCAGGTTTTGATGGCCCTGCCGCGCAAGCAGATACAGCGATCGTAGATTAGACCAAGCAAGACACCACTTTGACCAGGAACCTGGAAATCATTGATTAAATCGTCAAATTGATTGATAGAAAGAGTATCAAATTCGAAGGTCAATATTTATTGCGGCGGCGCAAGGAACAACACTTGGCAGATCCACCAACTGCACTAGTCCAAAAGGGGGGTCGTGCCAACTGGAAAGCTCATAGCATACAGAGGAAAAGATCGACAGCAGCATTCCATTCGTCATGGTCAGTCGACTCTTCTGCCGACGGGCTGCGCCGGAGTATGACAGGCCTCTGTTTCAAATGCTTAATCTTGTTTGAGATTTATCGTAATCAATTGTCCTGCATAGGTGGCACGTGCGAAGCTGCCTGATCTAGATAGTAAATACTAAATCGACGGCATGTGCACCTCTGGAGATATTCGAGAGACATATGCATCAATCAACATGTTCAATTATGTCATGTATGTATATATACATCATTATACTGATTATATCCTACTCCTATCCCCTGACATGTTCGCGTGTATATACCTTTGGGAGTGAGTCTGATTTCCTCCCATCTCCCCTATTCCCAGTCAGGGCTTCAATATCCTCATCCGTCGGGCGTAACCGTCCACTGCCCTCCATACGATGATGCTGATGGTGATGCTCGCCGGTATGTAACAGGATTTCACCGCCCATGTTCCGTTTCCGAAGCCAGTAGGCGCGCATGCGATCTAGGGCGGTTTTGAAGTCGTCGAGGATGACCGTGTCGCAGAGACATTTGAAAATAAACGACAACTGTGCGGTCAGCAGAGTCCTTGAAGAAGACGGTAGAGATAAATACCTTCCAGAATGGCTCAATCCCCGTCGGCAAGGACGAATGGCTAAACACGTTGAGGACGCTGCAGGTATCGACGACCATGAAAGCAATGGAGAGACACATGGACGCCAGCATGATGCCAAACCGCGGGGAGACGCTGACCAGCTCAATGATCCCAAAGTTGTATTCGCGTTTGATGGTGTAGAAGAGGGAGCAGGTGGTGAAGATCCACCAGGGGTCACTACTCAAATCAGCTTATCAGCTTATCACCATTCCGCCTGGAGGCAAATGGAGGGCGAACAAACCGGAAAATGGGCTCGAGCGGCCTCGTGGTCAGGAAAATCTTGTTGTAGTTGTTGAAGTAGGCAAAATTGGCATAGATCTCCAGCACCCAGTAGGGCTGCGCCAGGATCACGGTCCCGATATAGAACAGCGACACCTTTCGCGACATGAACGGGCGGTTCTTCATCCAGGCGATCACATTGTGCAAGCTCCACGACACATTCAGCCCGACGGCCGTGACGCTTTGGTACCACCCATACACAGGGTCCTTGGGGAAGATGAAGGTCCCATTGGGCATGGCCAGGATCAACTCGAGCAGAATCAATTTATGGAGCAGAATGTGCTTCTTCATGTTGACAAAGGTCACTGACGCCATGACCAGCAGGCAGCCCAGCATGAGGCCCTGGCCCCATGCCTCAAGCACGAGGCCATCGGGATTGGTGGGTCGCGAGATGCGATCCGACGTCGACATTGGTCACAGTTGCATACTGAAACGGGCAATAAAATAAAAAAGTAAACCGGAGAACAGAAGGAAGGACAAAGGCCGGTGAAAGAACGGAGGGTTATTCGGTGAATAAGAAAGGTAAAGAATGGAGGCGAGCTGCAGGTGGAAAAGAAGAGTAGTGGGACGCACACGAGATATAACGGTCAGTGGGGTGCAAAATTCTGGAGATTCGGAACCGTGAGACTGGAGAATATGGGGTAGCGAGATCGAGGAGAATCGGCTACTGTCTAGACTCAGGACCCAAAACCAGACCCACGAGGCGATATATAATAATGCCACAGCCACATGGCTAGATGACGCTGGAAATCCCTGAGAGGAGACAGACAGAGACACCGGCCGAAGGTTAAGAAAAGGTCAAAGAGCCGTGGCCGTAGCAGTCGGCACAACCACCGTCCTGGGGGATAATTCACGCGATTGGTCTAGAAATGTCCCTTCCAGTCAGAGCTTTCCAGGGAACCGGCCCGGAAACAGGGATAGGAAGGACCAGAGGCCAGCGTGTGGTCTTTGCATTCTGCCTCGAGTCTGTCCAGGTCTGTGCCTGTCTGTGCCCGTCTCTTATAGTTGCTTCTTTGATAGACGTGCATTGTCTGATACTTTGGACTACTTGACCCTCACTGTAACCTTGTCAATCCTGTTGACTATCGGTCGGCACGGACAGTGAAGCTTGTCAAGAAACACACACTCTCATAAAGTCACGGACGGGGGAACGGAAAACGGTCCTATGGAAGACGGAGACGAGAAAAGTTTGCCACTGCGGAGAAGGGAAGTCCGGGGACAAGAACCAATGTAAAGGCCTCAAATGGCTCCGTCCCCTGGCTTAGGCTAGGACTAGAGCAAGGTCCCCGCTTAGTTTTACTTGGCTTCGTATTACTTTTCTCCAGAGTAGTCCACGAGCAGGTGACAATGAAGTAATGAAGTCGATAGCAAGACAAATAATAATGTCGAGTCAGGTGTCGATCTGTTCTGCTGATCTGTCTCAGTGAGACTCAGCCTTATGGATAGTATCTTGTCCGCCATCACACGAAGTAGAGTCTCAGTTAAATCAATTGAGCCGGTTCAAAGAAGACAACAGGGCTCTTGTCTTCGGCTGCTGCCTGCATGCATGTGAAACCGACTACGCCACGTTTAAGTACTATAAACTCCAGCCAAAGTATAACCAGATCCCATTACGTGCAGCTTCATTCATAGGACAGTCCGGCCAATCAAGACCCCTCCTGAACCGAAAAGATTCAAGCCGTCTTGACTGACGGCGCTGCCTCGTCGTCGGTGCTCTTTTCCCGAGGTCCTCCCCCAAACACATTCTGCATTTCTTCCAGAGAATGGCGGGATGTCTATGTGCTGGTTAGTCGTAGTGAGGACAGAGGACGAGGGAACACTTACCTCTCGCAAAAAGAACCACGAATATCCGATAATAGAATAGTTGAAAATGGCAAACATCAGGAACATGCGCCATCCAATATTCTCAATCGCGTGCGGCGTCACCTGCGACATCATAAAGTTGAACAGCCACTGCGACGCCGCCCCCACCGTCACGCCCACTTCGCGCGTGCGACTCGAGAAGATTTCTCCCACGTACAGCCATGGCAGTGGACCCCAGGACATATTGAAGCTGAAGGCCTCGGCATAAGTCATGATGATCATGGCGATGCCCGCGTGCGTCGCTCCAGTCTCAGCAGCGCCCGTCGACGCTTTCGTTGGATGCGTCGCCAGTACACACGCGATGATGAGCATAAAAGAGCCCATCGCGCCCGCGCCGACCATGAACGGGACTCGTCGCCCGATCCGGTCCATGACAAACAGCTGAAAGACACTGACCCCGACCACCTTGACCACGCCGAAGAACCCCGTCACCAGCTTGGCCGAGGTGCCCGCGCCGACCGCCGCGAAGATCTGCGTCGCATAGTACGCCAGCGAGGTGTTGCCCGTCAGCTGCGCACACAGCTGGATCGTGACGGCAATGAAGATCCGGTACCGATTCGCCGGCAGCAGCAGCTCGCGCCAGGTCCAGTTCTCCCGCACGCGCGCCTCCTCCTCGAGCCCCGTCAGGATCTCGTCAAACTCCTGCCGCAGTTCGGCCGTCTCCTCGCCGCCGCGCACCCATCGCAGCGAATCCCACGCGGCGTCAGTTCGCCCCTTGGCCGCCAGCCACCGCGCGCTCTCCTTGACCGTGCACATGCCCGCCAGCAGCAGCGTCGACGGCAGCAGCTGCAGCCCCAGCGCGATCTGCCACTGTTTTGTTGCGGACGGCTGGTCCTTGGACACCGCGTACGTCACCCAGTACGCGACCATCACGCCGCACGCAAAGAACCACTGGAAACACGCCCCCAGCCGCCCGCGGAACTCCTTGGGCGACATCTCCGCCGCATACATGGGGATCAGCACCGTCGCGGCGCCGATCCCCATCCCGGCAATCACGCGGCCGGCGTAAAAGGTGCCCAGGGTGTGCGCGTTGATTACCTGCAGGATCGTGCCGAGCGTGAACACCAGCGAGCTGATGATCAATCCGCTCCGGCGGCCCAGCCGCGAGGCCACGGGAGTGGTGAAGAAACATCCGAAAAACGCGCCAGCCTGCAGGATAGAAACAGCATTCGAGTTGACGGTGGTTTTCTGCGCTTGAGTATATCGAAAGTCCTTCTGGAAGGATTCCAGCGTGAGAACGCCGCCTGTCAATCGTCAATTAGCTGGCCGTTTTTTTCTTTTTCTGGATAGGGAGCAACGCACTGATTATCCCCGTGTCGAACGCAAAGGCAAACGAGCCCATGCAACTGGCCGATACCAGATAAATGGCCCGCAGCAAGCCAAGTCTTTTGCCCATATCGCTTAGTATCTCTCCTCTTAGCCTCAAAGACAAGCTGCAGAAAAGAGGCGAGGTTCAGCTATAAATCAGGTAAAGATAAAGACAGGTCAATGCATTGCATGCCAATCATCCCTGCCGTTGCGTGATCTGAGGCGTCAGAGTCAGTGTCACACCCGCAACACGAAGCTGCGCCGAACAGGAAAGCTTGTGGATGATCCCGTATCCTGATAGGTGACTCCTTGATGCCATGCGGTTTTAGTGTCGGCAGATTTCTTTGTCTCTTGCGTTGCGAGTCAGCAAGCATGCTTGGAGCCGAGTCCCGAGCCGCTCGGCTATTCTTATTGACTGACTCGTGCTATCGATGATGGGATGTAAATGATCGTAATTCTAAGTGACGAGGAACAATGATTGGTGAGAGATGTTGAGATCGAGTTGAATGGTTGGTTGATGATGGGCAAATCATGGTCGCGATGACGTGACGGGTCAATGCTTCGTAGCTGTATTGATGGAGTCGTCATCATTGATCTCTTTGCGCATGCAGTTCTTTGTTCGTAAGCGTCTCTTTGGTTTCGAGACGGGAAATGGATGAATCTTGATGATCTTTGTTGTACACCGCCAATTATACGCTCGGCGAACCCGGGGTAGATGCCAATAGCATGCGGCCGACAATAGTATATCAAATTTATAGCTTTCGTGTCTATAACTGACTATATTTTTATTACGACATCCTAATGTAGTTAGAAATAGCTACCACTCCGGCGCATGGAGCTGTCTGTTATGGGAGTTCACAGATGCTCGCTGATAGAGCGAACATAGTATAACATCAATGAAGACGGTGAGACGTAGAGAAAGGTCTATAGGTACAATGAGTAGGAGATAGTCTCATACCGTGAATAAGTCACCAAGAAGCATGAGCATGAGCATGAGCATGAGCATGAGCATGAGCATATTTAACCAACCTCAGGCGCCCTAGAGATATACTCCCCCAACGCCTCCTCCGTCCACTCCCACAACCTCCCCGCCAAAGCATCATCACCCGCAGCCCTATAAAGCTTCCCCGGAACCCCCACCGGCTCATAAAACCCCCCATTTACCAACTCCTCTTTAGACGCCGTCGCCGCCCAAAGCTGGTTATACGCACCCTCCGCCGGCTTCACCATCTTCCCAATAGTAGTCACATAGACAAACGCGCGGTTCCCCCGGGTCTGATTATCGACTAGCCCCGTGCTCACCACTCCGGGGTGGATAGAGACACAGGTAATGGCGGGGTATCGACGGGCTAGCTCGCGCGCATACAGGATATTAGCGAGCTTGCTCTGCCCGTAGCGGATCCAGGGGCCAAAGCCGAAGGCGTGGAACTGCTGGACGGTTTTTAGGGCCGAGAAGACGATTCCGCCGCTGGGGTGGCCTCGGAAGCCTAGCGAGGTGATGATGATGATGCGCGCGTCTGTCTGTTCCTGCTGCTCTGCTGTCCGCTGTAGCAGGGGTAGACACTTGCGGATTAGCAGTGCGTGGCCGAGGTGGTTAGTCCCGAATTGGACCTCGTAGCCGTCTTTTGTGAGCGAGGGCGGCTGCGCCATGATGCCTGCGTTGCACATTAGGATGTCGAGTCGGGATTCCTGGCTGAGGATTGTTTCTGCTGCTTCGTTTACGGAGGATAGGGATGCCAGGTCGCAGGGGAGGAAGGAGACGGGGGCTGTCGAGTTTGAAGCAGATAGTTGTTTGACGAGCTCGTCGGCGCGCTGTGCGTTCCGTCCGCTGATGTAGATGTGTGCGGGCGGGTGCGAGTGTTTCGCTAGATGGAGCACCGTCGCAGCTCCGAGGCCTGCTGTTCCTGGTATACGGTTAGGGTGTTTGCCAGCTAAGGGACTCATGCAGGTCTAACCGCCAGTTACTAGGATGACCTTCCCCGAGAGATCTGGCATTTTATCGGGACTGAACGAGATGCCGGTTGGCATTTTGATCGTGCTGCAGGATATCTCAATGACTTGGGATGATAACTAGATAGTTTGTTCATAGGGTGATTCCAGGTAGTCTGAATGGTCGACAGGACCCTTAACAGGAAGCCCAACAAGCCATTTCTATTCGGGTCCGGCGAGATTCCTGGAGCCGACTCTCTGGCTGTTGCGCAGGGAATGGACGTAACGGTCGATGCTTGCTCGGAGATAGGTGCTGACGCCAGTTCATTCAGGCTAGATAATCTGAACCGTTGAGCTTTGGCCTATTTCTACCTAGCTACCATCCAATGAGTTCTTGTGCTGGGATGAGAGGCAGGGATGCAGCGGCTAGGCAGTCTATGCTATCGTCCGCGTGGCAGGACAGAGGCTAGCGTCATGTATAGCTGCTTACTATATAGACCAGCATCAGATTGATAACTCCGAGTCCGAGTCAGATAATTAGATTTAGTGCAGGCTCGTGCGTTGTAAGCATCTATATATGAATCATAGCATGAGGCGTACAAGGTGTTGCCTGTCTACTACGCGTCATGTCAATTAGTTTTTCTGCGTAGTATACCTCTCTATTGAGCAGGATCAGTAAGGATCATGTAACTGCATTAGCTTCAAATGAATCTAATCAGTTTGTGGCTGTAGGATCAGAGTATGCGGACTATCCAGCAGGATCGAACTGCAGTGAGGTCTCATACGGCTGCCGTCTACATGCAATGACCACAATATGGAGTAAAAACAAATATCCCCCAAGGAAGTAGTCCCAGGAGCTATGAACCACTGCCCTAAAAGCCATGGTGATGATTCGATAGAGCATGTTATATACTAGCGTAGGAACCCATGTCCTGCCTAAGGGCCTGGCCTGATGGCTCTGTTATATATGAATAAATACTACTACTATTGTTAGTTAGATTGCTGCAATTAACGCAGATACTTCTTGCAAGAGATGGATAGGTTATAATTCATCCGACGGTTTATAAACTGCATTTAGCCTATGATCTTTTCATCTTTGATCTTGACCTCTATCAAATCGTATACTGCGAAGTAACTCCACCGAGTACTAACGCAGGGCTTCCTCCAGGTTCAGCAAGGTCACAGTAACCTTGTTGTTCTGTCCATTCAAGACACCAGCGCCATTGATCAAGAGCATCTTCGGGTCCTCATTCAGAACCCGCAGCGAGCGGGTGTAAGCGTTCGGCTCAGCAGTACGGATCTCCCTCCATGGGCCCTCTCCCAGCGCCTGGTTGATGAATACGCTGCTGGAGGAGTATGAGCTCACGATGATGGTACCGTTGACGCCGCCGTACGGGGACCAGACGACATAAGGCGACGAGGTGGGGACATAGCCCGTGGTCGTGACAAGGCGCTGGTGAGGAGCCGACATGAAGTTCTCCGGGTCGGAGGAGATGCGGTAGTAGACCGGGAAGGAGTAGCTGCTGGTGCCGAAGAAGGAGCCATATTCGTAGGTGTAGATGTACTTGCCATTGGGGAGCTTGGCGACCACAGGCATGCCGGGACGATCGGTGTAGGTTGGGTAGGCACTGTTACAGTCAGTCTCGTTCCGCCACAGTGGTGGTGGACGCAGGGTGAAGCTGGGCATACACATCGTCAACGACAGGACCCCAGTTCTTCAGGTCCGTCGTAACCTGGTGGACCATCTTCTGGCCGTGGGTGGTGTTGGCTCTCTGGTCGGAGTAGTAGCAGATCAACTTGCCATTACTGTCATGGACTGTTAGAACGGCACTGGGATGATCTTTACTCCATGGAAACTTACTGAGCCATCAGGAAAGGCTCCCACACAGGCGTCAGCCCGTTATCGGGAACAGCCCTTCCGCCAGCAGCAATGTGGCTCACAAACTTCCAGGTCACACCAGAGTCATGCGACGCATACAGCTCAATATGCGTCGACGACAGATCTGTGGGAATGGCACTGCCCGCCATCAGAATCGTCCCGGCGGGGAACGACCCAATGCGCTCGGGAAGTCTGTACAGCTCCGGCTGGTAGCGTAATCCGTAGCCATACACCTGGTCGTGGATCCGCGAGATCTCCTTCCAGGTCCGTCCGTGGTCTCTGGACCGGTAGACGGGGAAGTACACTTGCGGGGGCTCCTTGGAGTAGTTCTCCCAGATGGCCAGGAGGTCCCCGTTGGCCAGCTCCAGGTTGCGCGCGTACAGAACGCGCGGGACGTTGTAGTCAGCCGGGGGTTGGAAGACGGTCACCGCATTGTAGGTTGGAATGGTGGCCCGAGGGACACTCGCGGCCAGGGCCAGAGGCGCGAGGGCGAGAAGGCTAAGGAATCTCATTGTCGGTCAGGAACTTGCGTGTTTGACAGCTTGAGTTGTCAAGAGTGTTCCTGTAGACTGCCGCAACCCCGGTTTTATAGTCGACATTGCGATACTGACTCCGTCACTCTCCAATCCATTAACATGATTAAACGAAAGTGTCTCAGCGAGGAAGAGTATCGAAAATGCGGAGACGGCTTCATCCCGCCGGAGTTGTCCCCTGTACGGATTCGCCCAGAACCATAACTATGCAAAAGCTAGCCACTCTGGGAATTTCCATCAATCGTATTCCTGCATCTAAAACAGTGGAAATGAAGAATCTAGATGCCATGCCATCGTGATTCTGGTCGAGAGGCCAACGGTGCCAAAATCTGTCGTGTGAAGGAAGTTTAGCAGCATAAAGAGACTCAGAAAGGAGACATTAGCCGCTTCAAGTCAGCAGCGGTTGTGTCGATAAGCGGGGGATCTGCGACAACGGCAGTGTCTCGATCTGTCGAACTCTTCAGCAATCAGCCACGAAGAGAGGAATGAATGAAACAATCATCATTGGTCGAGGCAAAGTCATGCAATTAAATCGTGATACGTCATATACTCGGAGAAATGCCTCGGAGAAATGCCCAGGTTGGCTGGAGAAAATTGATGTCTAGACACGACGTGTGGAGTGCAGGAAGCGGAGAAGAACTCTGGGGTGAAAGTGAGACATCCAGATCCTGCCAATGATGTGACTAGCTAGCACAGATTAGCCTGTTACAACTGGCCTGTTTTTAACGCGGGGAACCGAGACAGGAACTCGTCAGGAGTCAAGCTTATTGAACATCGGATAACGTAGCAGTCTAATCCCAGGGAAAGAGAAGAGGTTGTACGGAGGACGGAGTAATGGTGGACACCCTATTCTCAGCAATGACAGCACCTCGCTCAGTTGAAGACTGAACTCACTGAAGAGTGAAGACATCATGTTTACTATCGCTCGGAGAAATGCAAGCCTTGGCTGTGAAGGTTACACAAACCATCGACTATGGTCAGGACAGACACTGGCCTCCTTTCAAGTTGAGTCTCTTTGATGCAGGACAAAGAGCCAATTGGAGAAATATACCATACAACAATGCCAGCAAAGCGATCACATTACTATGAATCTATATATGATATTGTGCTACATATTCGATATGACTAGACTATTTATTACGTTCATAACCCAGGCGAGAGTATCCAGATTGAAAGACTGAAGCTTGATCCAAGACTCTGTATCCACATCCTAACGATGCAAATCCCACAGACTCAGACTGTAGCTCTTGTCTCCGAACTTGGAGGCAAGGTGGAATTTGACGATAACTATCCCGTTCCTGTCCCGGGTCAGAACGAGGTGCTGGCAAAGGTCCTCTACACCGGTGTTTGTCAGAGTGGTGAGTTCACCAGTCTCAACTTGAGTCAATTCTCCTAAGCATGCAGACCTCCACACCAAGAATGGAACTGCAGCCGGTGCCGATGGAAACCCCATCACCAACATCAAGCGTCCTCACGTCGGTGGACACGAAGGAGTCGGTCGGATTGTGGCGCTGGGGCATGGTTGCGGACCTGACTTGAAGGTTGGAGGCCTAGTAGGGATTCGCTTCGCCAGCCGTATCTGCCGACGATGCGAGTACTGCCTCGCCGGGACTGAACAGTACTGCGTCAAAAGCACCAACCATCTGCACCACGAGGATGGCAGCTTCCAAATGTACATTGCTCTCGACGCGGACTATCTAACGATCCTGCCGGACGACATCGACCCGAAAGTCATTGGGCCAGTTTTATGCGCTGGGGTGACGGCTTACAAGGTTTGCAAGCCCCCTTTGGTTCCGTGGTCTTCTAACATGTTAGGCCGTTCTCAACGCCAACATCAGAGCGGGAAACTGGCTCGTTGTAGTAGGTGCTGGAGGTGGCCTCGGACACCTCGCGGGTAAGATCGTTCTCTTGTCAAACGCAAGACAGCAGCTGATACTGCATCAGTTCAATACGCAAAAGCCCATGGCGCGCTGGTCATCGGAGTCGACGCTGGTGATAAACGAGACTTCGTTCTCGGACTTGGTGCTGTCGAGTTCATCGACTTCAAATCTACCGACCCTGTGCAGCGTGTTCACGAAATCACTGGACTGGGGGCACACGCCGTAGTTGTGACGGCTGGCAACGCAAAAGCTTTTGCCCATGCATGCGACATGCTGCGCGTCGGTGGCACCCTGAGCTGCGTTGGCATTCCCCCAGGGCGTCCTGTGCTGGAGACCCCCATCTGCACCATCGTCATCAAAGGCCTCAGGATCACTGGCAATCTGGTTGGCTCGCTGAAAGAATGTATGGAAGCGGTAGACTTGGTCCGTCGAGGAATGGTCAAACCGGAAATCCGAGTACGGCCATTCAGGGATCTGCCTCAGGTGTACGAGGAAATGGAGAAAGGTGATATTTCAGGAAGAATCGTCCTCCAAATTGCAGAGTGACCTTTGTCTTTGTTCACCCTTTGGCTGCTGAATAAAAATGGTACTTCGATCAATGAACGTGGTCAGCCTGCTCTGAGATACTCTCTTCTTCCACATCTAGCCTGGCAACAAACCCGACACTCAAACGAGCAGGAGCCATCACCAAAGCCTCGGCTGTTTTCGCACGAAGAATTGAGTTCAGCATCGGATCATGCTCCAGAAAGGGCAGAATCTTCTGATACAATGCGTGTAGAAAGTCCTGAGGCCCGATCTGAAGGGCATTCGAAAAGGAGCTTGAAGGAGTATAGAGAACGGTATCTGCCAGAGAGTTGGCAACCTCGAAACACTTCAATAGCTATACTAGCGTTATTGCAACGTTGACAATAATCTTGCAGTAGTCTGCATGAGGCTCACCTGGTCCCGACCCAAAGGCAGCAGGTCTGTCTCAGACAGTCCGTGCAGGGACATCAACAGATCACGGCCGACAACTACAGGGAATCGAAAGGTCATCACCTCGTTGGCAGATGTCGAGGATAACAGATGCCCGGATAGTGCTTCCTGCCAGACAATTGTCCTCATCCATTCTCTGGTGATGTAACAGTCCGCCAGCCGTGTGGATGCCTGATCGTCTGAGCTGAAGGCTAGTAACGACAGTGCTGCTTCTGTTTCAGCTAGACTAGCTGCAGATAGAGCTTGAGCCAGATTGCCGCTACGGCATCGCCGTGTCTGGATCTTGTCGAATGTGACAAAAAGATTGGAAAGCTCGAGTAACCCCCTCGCGTGAGGCTTCATGGCCAGTTGTGCTGCATCTGGGACCTGAACTGGATCAGTGTATGAAGGCCTCACACCGAGATGCAGGGCATATCCTCTGTGCTGCATCAGTACCGCCAAACCTTGTCATTATGCTTAAAGACTATAGTCACCTACCTCTCGGACACCCACAGCAACAGAAACACAATCTCCTCGTTTGCAACTACACCATCCATAACGACACCATGCCGTTCGTTCGTGTCCAACCTTAATAGTCTCGCGCTCGCGACGGCCTCCTGTATAAACAGCATAGCCGACTTCCGTTGGTTAATCTTTGCATGATACACATGCAGAAAGAACGAAACAAGTGCACCCTTAACGTCGAGGTTCTCTCTGTAATCACTCCGCTCCCGAAGTCGCATACACTCCAATTTGAGCAGGCCACTGTCCACCATGTGGCCAACATTGCCAGCCAAGGGAGCAAGCTGCAACTGTGCCATTGTCGCGGCACATAGCGCCAGCACTAAGCAAAGTGTCTGCGCATCGCAGTTGCCGTTCTCCAACTGCTGCAGAAGCGCATCTGCGTGGACCACCGGCCAAACACTGTACGAGAAAGTCTGGTACAGGCGCACGATATAGATCAGTATCGTCTTGGGAATGCATGTCTCATTTCTCCAGCCGGATGCAGACAGAGGCTCATCCCCCTCAGTATCAGCATGGACGTCAGCCCGGTTCACCGAACGATTCTCGGCCGACTGTGTTGCTGCTGCAGCTTCCTCCGCATGAGCATGGCAAATCGATCCATCACTGACGAGCCTGCCCTTGTTGGTATATCGTCGAGCTTTTGGTCCCCTCCGTCCCGGCGGTTTGAGGTACGTGCAGTCCGCCTCCTTGGACGTCTTCAGGCAAGTATCGCAAGGCGAGGAGCCGCTACACTTTACCTTGCGAGATATGCACTCATCACATGCTCTTTTGGTGAGTTGTCGGCGCATCCGATCAGTATTCCGTATCCTCTACTATCAAATTGATTGAATGTGTCATGGAAGTGGAGTTCGTGTTATCACAGGATGATCAAGCACCTGCAGTCTGCAGATGAGGGGAAGCCGCGCTGTCCATGCATGCCGGCAGCCGGACAGACATTGGTGGGTTCTACCGGCATTACTTTAGATAACCTGCTATCCTCTCTATACTGTAATTTCAAGCTGAAATCTCCCTGTACTCTTTGTCAGATATTTTATCCTCAAGTGAAGATATCGACACTCACACTCTTCTCGGCCAACCTAGATCTCCCTTCCGCCGACGACGTCATGAAGACCCCGCCGCGGGAGGACCTTCCCTAATTTCAGATCTCTTCCATATGCGACAATCGAAACCACATAGATTCTCCATCGACTCACCGATTCATCATTCCTCAGCATATATACCCTTCATTTCCTCATCTTCTCTCTTCTCCCTCTCACGTCCCACCCTTCCTCCTGAAACACACTTACCCTCTAAAATGGACAAACCACTCGGCCCGACCAGCACAGACGTACGCCAACCCCCGCAACCCTCAACCCCTCCCCAATCGCTAACAAGAAGTGCCAGATCCGCGAGCTCGCGGCCCAAGAATCCTCCGCAGCAGTAATCTTCCCCTCCTTCACCTGCACAACCGCCTGGTCCCTCGGCCTCGCCCTCCGCGACCGCATCCTCTCCCTCCCCGCCGACCAGCGCAAGCCAGCCCTGATCTCCATCTCTCTAACCGGCGGCTCCGAGCCACATGTTATCTTCCAGTGCGCGACGGAACCGGGCACCGTCGCCGACAATGAGGTCTGGGTGAGGCGGAAGCGGAATACCGTGCTGCGGTGGGGCGTGTCCAGCTGGTTGATGCGGAATAAGATGCTGGCGAGTACGGGGCTCAGTGCGTCCGAGGTGGAGGAGGCGTTTGTGAAGAAGTTCGCGCTCAAGAGCTCGAGTGGGGGTGCTGCGGATGACTATGCCATCCACGGCGGTGCGTTCCCTGTTCGGGTCAGGAGCGTTGATGGTGTGGTGGGCGTCATTGTTGTCAGTGGGTTGAAGCAGGAGCACGATCACCAGGTCGTTCTCGAGGTGGTGCGGGATTACATCCAGAACAACGCTTGAGCTGTCTGGATATCAACCCGCTGTTGGCGTACTCTACATAAACAAGTATCGGATTTGTTGGGCTCAATTGAGCAACCGCTTTGTACAGTACGTGAATAATCTAGGCGAAAAGAAAGTACATATCAATGAGGTATCATGTATTGGCCTCTATATCATACATCGAGGCGACTCTGGCTTATTCCCAAAGGAAAGTCCATAATGAATCAATTAACATATCAAAACTCCGTAAATCCCTCTAAAGTAATTTTACAGTTCGTCATGTCCGCTGGGCTCCTCCTCATCAGCCGGTGCAGAGCCATACAGCTTGCTGGTGATGGGGTAGGCCACGTTGGACAGTTGCTCCTTCTGCTCCTCGAAGTCCTCGGTGGTGGCAGTGGCGGCGTTGTCCTCCAGCCAGTCGGTCACCTCCTTAACAGCATCCAAGATAGTCTGCTTGTCATCCTCATCGATCTGGCCACCAAGACCGTTCTCGTCGTTGACCTGGTTCTTCAGGCTGAAGGCATAGTTCTCCAGCGAGTTGCGAGCCTCAATCTTGGCCTTGATAGCCTTGTCCTCCTCGGCGAATTCCTCGGCCTCGGCAACCATGCGGTCAATCTCCTCCTGGGACAGACGACCCTTGTCGTTGGTAATGGTGATGGACTCGGCCTTGCCGGTACCCTTGTCGCTGGCGCTAACCTTCAGGATACCGTTGGCATCCAGGTCGAAGGAGACCTCAATCTGAGGCACGCCACGAGGAGCGGGAGGGATACCAGTGAGCTCGAACTTGCCGAGAAGGTTGTTGTCCTTTGTCAGAGAACGTTCTCCCTCATCTGAGACATCAGTCAGTATATCTCCTTATCTTCAATCAAGCACAATGGCAAATACTTACAAACTTGGATCAGGACGGTGGGCTGGTTGTCAGCGGCGGTTGAGAAGATCTGAGACTTGCGGGTAGGAATGACAGTGTTGCGGGGAATGAGCTTGGTCATGACACCACCGGTGGTCTCAATACCCAGGGTAAGAGGGTTGACGTCCATGAGAACGACATCGCCGGTACCTTCCTCACCAGAAAGGACACCACCCTGAACGGCAGCACCGAAAGCGACAGCCTCATCGGGGTTGATGCCCTTGGAGGCCTTCTTGCCACCAAAGAACTCCTCGAGGAGAGCCTGGACCTTGGGAATACGAGTGGAACCACCGACCAGAACAATGTCGTTGACATCGGACTTCTTGACCTTGGCGTCCTTGAGCACCTGCTCGACAGGCTTCAGGGTCTTCTTGAACAGATCCATGTTGAGTTCTTCGAACTTGGCGCGAGTGAGGGTCTCGGAGAAGTCCTCGCCGTTGTGGAAGGATTCGATCTCAATGCGAGTGGACATTTGGGAAGACAGAGTACGCTTGGCCTTCTCGACTTCGCGCTTGAGCTTACCCATGGCCTTGAGGTCCTTGGAGACATCAACGTTGTTCTTCTTGTTGTATTGCTTGACGAAATAGTCCATGACGCGGTGGTCAAAGTCCTCACCACCAAGGTGGGTGTCACCGGCAGTAGCCAAGACCTCGAAGACGCCGTTGTCGATGGACAGAAGGGAGACATCGAAAGTACCACCACCAAGATCGTACACAATGACCATACGCTCATCACCAGTCTTGTCCAGACCGTAGGCGATAGCGGCGGCGGTGGGCTCGTTGACGACACGGAGAACGTTCAGGCCGGCAATGGTACCAGCGTCCTTGGTAGCCTGTCTCTGGGCGTCGTTGAAGTAGGCGGGAACAGTGACAACGGCGTGGGTGACTTTCTTTCCGAGGTAGCCCTCAGCGATTTCCTTCATTTTTCCAAGGACCATGGCGGAAACCTCCTCGGGGGTGAAGATCTTGGGGGACTTGTTGACTTCGACCTTGACGACAGGCTTGCCATCCTTGTTGACAACCTTGAAGGGGAAGTTCTTGGCGTCCTTCTGGACATCCCTGTCATCGAACTTGCGCCCAATCAGACGCCTGGAAGAGGTTAGCACAAACACTCCGGCTATCGAAAACCCGACGGGCAAAACTCACTTGATGTCAAAGATGGTCCGGGTAGGGTTCGCGGCGTATTGGTTCTTGGCGGCGTCACCAACCAGACGCTCTTCATCAGTGAAGGCGACATAGGAAGGAGTGATACGGTTTCCTTGGTC